ACGAAAGCTGGTTCAGCTAGTTCTTCTGTCTTGGAGACAGGTATGCGAACAATTTATATCTCATCGTCGCCAAGTATGCATTTTTTCACGACTCGGCTGCGGGACTGACTAAAAGTGCAACCATGTACAAAGGGACTGCAACCGCACAGATGTTGGGATTGTGAATTTCTACAAACAGCTGGACAAGCCTCTCACGAAACTAAAACTGTTGTGATTTCATGAGCACATAGATTCAGAGTTCATTCGATTTAGATCAAAACGCCTTTCAATTTCCCATAACAATCTGTCGTTCTTTTCAGACGTGCGTCTAGCAGCCCACATGTAAATCGAAATTTTCCTTTTCAAAATTCAAAATCTTTATATATTTGATACTCAGAAAATATTACTATCACACCTAGTAAAGCCGATGCCATACATTTGTACGGTGTTATTTGATACAATTGTATAGACGGTATATGGGTTAAATACACAAGATTGTAAAACTTGCCTCATTACATACTGAAACTCGGCAATTCTGCACCAAGTGACACTTCGTGGATTTCTGACCCTCTTTATCCTCCAACCAGGACAGAAGGGTTACGCAGGTCGCAGATGCTTGCTACTGCACATACCCGAGTACGACCTTCTGTTTGGCTGCTAAACAATTGCTCATTTTCTTCTCATCCTAGCCATGATTCATAGTCTATGGCGCGCTCGTAGAGCCACGCCTTTCGCACTTCAACCGGCCCGTGCGACACAAAAGGTGCGATCTGCATTCAAAGCAACACCCACCACTTTATCGAAAAAGGGTAGGTAGCCGCAAAATAAGCGCATCCGTTTGAATCCATTCAAAAAAATGATAACCATTACCCCTTCACGGAGTGGATCGGCCGCTATCGAACTGACGTGATTTTTAAGCCCTTCAACAAATTTCACTCATTTTCCACGCTTCCTCGACGAGCGGACAATTTTTTTTTATGGCACGCAATAACCTTAACAATCGGTGCGAAAACGTGCAAAATCTGTCACTCCAGCACTTCCCTAGTTGGGAATGCCTCTTCTAACGAGGTACCACACGTTAGTGTTGCCCATTCTCAAACACGGCCTTCGAGAGTGGAACCGCCAGTGCAGCGGGGCTGCCGTAGCATTACGCTTAGAGGAAGCGTAATTTAGGTCACCGACCTTTCGTCCTATACTTAGAACAAGTACGAGTTAGCAGATCGCAATCCGCTTGCTCCAAGAGTAATTATTGCCTTAACCCAAGGCTAATTACTCTTCTTTTTAAGATCCACAACTGATTTTTATTTATTTTCTGCGGCAAAGCCGCCTAATTTCAAATGTATAGATTTTCCTAAATATATATAGTAAAATCTAAATACAGGCATAACTACTGGCTACCTAGCCACATACCGTATTCTTGTTTGGGTGCAGTCACACCA